AAAATACTGGGGATGTGCTAAAAAAGAGGGGGGGGTTATTCTGGATGATCTAGAAAATATATAAGGGATGACCTAGAAAATACTGGGGATGAGCTAAAAATTATTAGGGAAGAGCTAAAAATTATTAAGGATGAGCTAGTAAATAATAGAAATAATCTAGAAAATACTGGGGATGAGCTAGAAAATATTACAAATGAGCTAAAAACTACTGGGGATGAGCTACCAAATATTAGGGATGAGCTAGAAATAATAAGGATTATCTAGAAAATACTAGGGATGAGCTAAAAAATAGTGGGGAACATTCGGAATGAGCTAGAAGATATTTGGGGATGAGCAAGAAATAATATGGATAATCTAGAAACTACTGGGGATGAGCTAAAAAATAATGGGGAACATTCTGCATGAGCTATAGAAAATATTAGGGATGACCTAGAAATTACTGGGGATGAGCTAAAAATGATTAGGGACAATCTGAAAAATACTGGGGACGATATGAAAAATTGTGGGAAATATTCGGAATGGGCTCGAAAATATTAGGGAGCAGCTAGAAAATACTGGGGATGAGCAGGAAAATATTAGGATTGAGCTAGCAATCATATGGAAAATCTAGAAAATACTGGGGATGAGCTAAAAAATATTATGGATGAGCTAGAAATATTATGGATAATCTAGAAAATACTGCGAATGTGCTAAAAAATCAAGGGGAATATTCTGGATGAGCTATAAAAATATTAGGGATAACCTAGAATATACTGGGGACGGGCTCGAAAATATTATGAATGAGCTAGAAAACACTGATTGTGAGCTAGAAAATAATAAGGATTATCTAGAAAATACTGGGGATGAGCTAAAAAATAGTGGAAAATATTTGGAACGGGCTAGAAAATACTGGGGACGAGCTGGAAAATATTATGAATGAGCTAGAAATAATATGGATAATCTAGAAAATACTGAGAATATGCTAAAAAATAAAGGAGAATATTCTGGATGAGCTATAAAAATATTAGGGATAACCTAGAAAATAATGGGGATGAGCTAGAAAGTATTAGGGGTCAGTAAAAAATAAAAGGGATCTCTAGAAAATACTGGGGAGGAGCTTAAAAAGTGGGGAATATTTGGAATGGGCTAGAAAATATTATGGATGACCTAGTAAATACTGGGGATGAGCTAGAAAATACTGGGGATGAGCTAGAAAATACTGGGGATGAGCTAGAAAATAATAAAAAATAATCTTTAAAAATTCTGGGGATGAGCTAGAAAATAATAAAAATAATCTTTAAAAATTCTGGGGATGAGCTAGAAATTACTGGGGATGAGCTAGAAAATATTAGGGACAATCTTGAAAATACCGGGGACAGATGAAAAATAGTGGGAAATATTCGGAATGTCCTAGAAAATATTATGGAGCAGCTAGAAAAAACTGGGGACGAGCAGGAAAATATTAGGATTGAGCTAGCAATCATATGGAAAATCTAGAAAATACTGGGGATGAGCTAAAAAATATTATGGATGAGCTAGAAATAATATGGATAATCTAGAAACTACTGGGGATGAGCTAAAAAATAATGGGGAACATTCTGCATGAGCTATAGAAAATATTAGGGATGACCTAGAAATTACTGGGGATGAGCTAAAAATGATTAGGGACAATCTGAAAAATACTGGGGACGATATGAAAAATTGTGGGAAATATTCGGAATGGGCTCGAAAATATTAGGGAGCAGCTAGAAAATACTGGGGACGAGCAGGAAAATATTAGGATTGAGCTAGCAATCATATGGAAAATCTAGAAAATACTGGGGATGAGCTAAAAAATATTATGGATGAGCTAGAAATAATATGGATAATCTAGAAAATACTGAGAATGTGCTAAAAAATCAAGGGGAATATTCTGGATGAGCTATAAAAATATTAGGGATAACCTAGAAAATACTGGGGACGGGCTCGAAAATATTATGAATGAGCTAGAAAACACTGATTGTGAGCTAGAAAGTAATAAGAAAAAACTAGAAAATACTGGGGATGAGCAAGAAAATATTAGGGATCAGTAAAAACTAATAGGGATAATCTAAAAAATACTGGGAATGAGCTAAAAAAGTGGGGAATATTTGGAATGGGCTAGAAAATATTATGGATGACCTAGTAAATACTGGGGATGAGCTAGAAAATACTGGGGATGAGCTAAAAAAAATATTTAAAAAATAATCTTAAAAAATCCTGGGGATGAGCTAGAAATTACTGGGGATGAGCTAGAAAATATTAGGGACAATCTTGAAAATACCGGGGACAGATGAAAAATAGTGGGAAATATTCGGAATGTCCTAGAAAATATTATGGAGCAGCTAGAAAATACTGAGGACGAGCTGAAAAATATTAGGGATGAGCTAACAATAATATGGAAAATCTAGAAAATACTGGGGATGTGCTAAAAAAGAGGGGGGGGGGGGGGGTATTGGAAGATCTAGAAAATATATAAGGGATGACCTAGAAAATACTGGGGATGAGCTAAAAATTATTAGGGAAGAGCTAAAAATTATTAAGGATGAGCTAGTAAATAATAGGAATAATCTAGAAAATACTGGGGATGAGCTAGAAAATATTACAAATGAGCTAAAAACTACTGGGGATGAACTACCAAATATTAGGGATGAGCTAGAAATAATAAGGATTATCTAGAAAATACTGGGGATGAGCTAAAAAATAGTGGGGAATGTTTGGAATGAGCTAAAAACTATTAGGGAAGAGCTAGAAAATACTGGGGACAAGCTGGAAACAATTAGGGATGACCTAGTAAATACAGGGGATGAGCTAAAAAAATGGTAGGGAATATTCGGAATGAGCAGGAAAATATTAGGGAAGAACTAGAAAATACTGGGGATGAGCAAGAAAATATTATGGATGAGCTGGAAAATAATAGGGATCATCTAGAAAATAATGGGGGCGAGCTAAAAAAATAGTAGGGAATATTCAGAATGAGCTGGAAAATATTAGGGAAGAGCTAGAAAATAATAGGGATCATATGAAAAAAATACTGGGGATGAGCTAAAAAATAGTGCGGAATATTCTCCTACATGCAATGGTGAAACACCTGACCGCTACACCACAGACGCCAGTTGCTTCAGGGTTGCTTTGGTTTGGGTTTGAAAATGTCCTACTTGATGACAAAAGCGATGACAATGACGATGATGGTGATGGTGGTGGCGATGATGAAAATGATAGCTGAGAGAAAGCCGAACATGGGTCCGATAACAATTTTGTTTAATACAATACACTGGGAATAAGCTAGAAAATATTAGGGATGAGATAGAAAGTAATAGGGGTCATCTAGAAAATACTAAGGATGAGCTAAAAAATAGTGGGGAACATTCGGAATGAGCTAGAAGATATTAGGGATGAGCTAGAAATAATATGGATAATCTAGAAACTACTGGGGATGAGCTAAAAAATAATGGGGAACATTCTGCATGAGCTATAGAAAATATTAGGGATGACCTAGAAATTACTGGGGATGAGCTAAAAATGACTAGGGACAATCTGAAAAATACTGGGGACGATATGAAAAATTGTGGGAAATATTCGGAATGGGCTCGAAAATATTAGGGAGGAGCTAGAAAATACTGGGGACGAGCAGGAAAATATTAGGATTGAGCTAGCAATCATATGGAAAATCTAGAAAATACTGGGGATGAGCTAAAAAATATTATGGATGAGCTAGAAATAATATGGATAATCTAGAAAATACTGAGAATGTGCTAAAAAATCAAGGGGAATATTCTGGATGAGCTATAAAAATATTAGGGATAACTTAGAATATACTGGGGACGGGCTCGAAAATATTATGAATGAGCTAGAAAACACTGATTGTGAGCTAGAAAATAATAAGGATTATCTAGAAAATACTGGGGATGAGCTAAAAAATAGTGGAAAATATTTGGAACGGGCTAGAAAATACTGGGGACGAGCTGGAAAATATTACGAATGAGCTAGAAATAATATGGATAATCTAGAAAATACTGAGAATGTGCTAAAAAATCAAGGGGAATATTCTGGATGAGCTATAAAAATATTAGGGATAACTTAGAATATACTGGGGACGGGCTCGAAAATATTATGAATGAGCTAGAAAACACTGATTGTGAGCTAGAAAATAATAAGGATTATCTAGAAAATACTGGGGATGAGCTAAAAAATAGTGGAAAATATTTGGAACGGGCTAGAAAATACTGGGGACGAGCTGGAAAATATTACGAATGAGCTAGAAATAATATGGATAATCTAGAAAATACTGAGAATGTGCTAAAAAATAAAGGAGAATATTCTGGATGAGCTATAAAAATATTAGGGATAACCTAGAAAATACTGGGGATGAGCTAGAAAATATTAGGGGTCAGTAAAAAATAATAGGGATAATCTAGAAAATACTGGGGAGGAGCTTAAAAAGTGGGGAATATTTGGAATGGGCTAGAAAATATTATGGATGACCTAGTAAATACTGGGGATGAGCTAGAAAATACTGGGGATGAGCTAGAAAATAATAAAAATAATCTTTAAAAATTCTGGGGATGAGCTAGAAATTACTGGGGATGAGCTAGAAAGTATTAGGGACAATCTTGAAAATACCGGGGACAGATGAAAAATAGTGGGAAATATTCGGAATGTCCTAGAAAATATTATGGAGCAGCTAGAAAAAACTGGGGACGAGCTGGAAAATATTAGGGATGAGCTAACAATAATATGGAAAATCTAGAAAATACTGGGGATGAGCTAAAAAATAGGGGGGGGGAATATTCTGGAAGATCTAGAAAATATAAGGGATGACCTAGAAACTACTGGGGATGAGCTAAAAATTATAGAAAATATTAGGGATGAGCTAGAAATTACTGGGGATGAGCAAGAAAATATTACAAATGAGCTAAAAACTACTGGGGATGAGCTAAAAAAAATTATAGGGAATATTCGAAATGAGCAGGAAAATATTAGGGAAGAACTAGAAAATACTGGGGATGAGCAAGAAAATATTATTGATGAGCTGAAAAATAATAGGGATCATCTAGAAAATACTGGGGACGAGCTAAAAAAAAAGGTAGGGAGTATTCGGAATGAGCTGGAATATATTAGAGAAGAGCTCGAAAATAATAGGGATCATATAAAAAAATACTGGGGATGAGCTAAAAATAGTGGGGAATATTCGGGATGAGCTAGACATGAGGGTTTTCTCCGATCCACACAGATCCACTCAGTTGTCCACATGATCTCTTTGTCTGCTTCATCTTTCGTCCAGTCAAATCTACCGACAGATCCTGTTGATGACCATCTCTGAGTAAGCAGCGCTGATGTCCCCTTCAACATGGTAGCGTCGTGAATGTTCTCCGGACAGATAGCTGAACATTTCTGTCAGGTTCTGACGTTCTGAAGACATCTGTGAGTGGAAAGAAAGAAAAGGAGAAAATGTTTTTGTATGGATTGCAACAACCGGTCATCACGTCGTACATAAAATAACACGTGTAAAATAAAAACTTTGGATTCATTATGAAGTGATGCAGGACTTACAGGCTTCAGATTTCCAAGAACTACAACATTTATAGATCCATGTGACAAGGGCTATAACTCAAGGACAGTACAACTAAAACTGAAAGCCTGACTGGCACAACATAAAATATTTGTTACCAGATAGTTAAAACTAGAAGTATCTCATTGCTCTGTGGATTAAAAATGGGACAAGAATTTATTCCAAATTTTTCAACAGCTCCCAGATACCATAAGATCTTACTGATGTCATATACAAATGGCAACATTATCTTCCAAAATTGTTCCTTGTTGAATAAAATTTTTTTAAACATTTAAAGTTCAAGAACAAATTGTAATCTCTACCAATGAATAAAGTGCTGAATCTACAAGAGCCTGGGGTGTCCGAGAAATCACAAAGCACAGCGGAAATTGTCCAAGACAGCCACCCATTATTGAGGAGAAAAGTGACTGTTTTAGACAGGTGGTTGTCTTGGACAGGTGTTATTATAATTCAGAAAAACACAAAGGGGAAGTGGGAAGTGGCCGTTTGTACAGGTGATTGTCTTAGACAGGTGGCCATTAAGGCAGGTTCAACTATAGTTGTAATTTGAAACCTGAAAATTCAAACAAGAAATGTACACCGATGATATTTACCAATTATATTTTTTTGACATTCTCCCCTACCACCGTTTTCTTCCCACACACAGGTAGAGAGGAGCGGTCAGAGAGATACTGACTCCATATTGGCACTGGCTTGACCGGCCTCAGACCACAGGGATCGTCTCTCACATACGGCAGGGAACACTGCTGGGGATGACAAATGACAATCCTCTTCTTTCCTTTCTTTCTCTCAACAAATTCACATCTGGGTAATCTTTTATTTAACCTATGATATAGATAAATATGGCAATGATAATAATGCAAATAATAACAATGATAATAATAATAAAGATAATAATGATAACTTTAAAAAAAAAATAATAACAATAATAATAGAATCTAGTGATAATAATGATTCTGATTATGACAATCATAAAAATAATAATTATAACACTAATAATAATACTAATAATAAAATTAATAATGCTAATACAAATTATAATACTAATAAAAATAACACTCTAAAACAGATAGGTGCTACACAGTAGACTAGAAATCACGTTTTTTTCCTTCTTTCTTTGTAAGATATCCCTGGAACTACAAATCCCTCATACCTCCGAAGTCGGTCCTTACGAATTCGAGATATCCGTGTTATCCGTGTTATACTGTAATAGTAATAATAATAATGATGGTAACAATTTTAACGATTATAACAATAATAATGATGATAACAATAACAATAATAATAATAATAAAAAACCGTCCATGTTTGACGATGATCAGAGCATCTGCAGAAGGAATGTCCTTCATGTAATAACGACACTGTTACAATCTTACAATCTTTTCTTCCGCGACTGGATAGCTAAAGATTTACATTTCTACTGTTAGAAGTTGTTGGGAAGAAGTAAAAAACATTTTTTTTAAAAATCTTGACCCTTTAATTTAAAAAAATATATCCCTTTGGGCCCTATATTTAAAACAGCTCTTTGGATGCATACACAGGATCCATAAAATAAATGACTTACAGTAACCTTGATTACAAATTGCTCATTTTGTGACCGCGACACCACCCTGCCCTATATTTCAGTGAAAATTTGTCGATTACATCTCCCAGCTGTCTAGACGTCTCCACGCGAGTCTCGAAAATTACTCACCCCGTCTGTAGAATCGCGTTTCTTAGGTGAATGGTTGAGTGTAGTGTTGAGAACTATGGCTGTATCTCAAGGAAGGGCGAGATTTCTTTGGCACTCAGGTACAGACGACTGTTGGGATCTGAAACAAAATAAAAATGAAACAAATACGTAGAAACATAATTCTAAATAATGCAACCGGAGGATCTTGAAAAAGCTCCAGTTAAAGAACTGTTTATTTATAGATTTCATTTGAACACAAAGCTCACTTATTTTGGCTCACAAAAACACAGAAGCTCTGTGTAAAAGAATTATCCGAAGAAAGGTATCAGAAAACAGAGGAAGGGGAAGACCAAGAAAAAGACGGGAACAGCTAGAGCATCAATGACTTGATTGGAGCAAATATCAGCCCAGCAGAAAGAGAAACAAATAGTGGTGGCAAAGGGAAACCAAGAGGGAAATGGGAAAATCACTTTCTGAAGCAAGGAGCATTTTCTGATCTGTAGCTTTCCACTCTGTCCAATTTTCACTTTCTTTAAGCTCTATCTGTTTTTTGTTGTACATAATTTTCAAGATAACAAGCTTACAAAAGACAAAACTTTATTTAAAAATTGACATGAAAATTTCTGATTTATTGAGCGAGAACCTAAATATATATGATATCTAAATTAACATTTCAAAACATTATTTTGATAAAGTCTTGTAGATTTTGAAAGAATGATAATGAATACTGCTTGGCATTGTTTTTATAAATTTTTTTTGCATTGGTTGGAAATTTATTATTTTCCGCCTGGTGCTCGATATTGAACAAGGTGACATATCAGAGGTTTTCTAAGGCCACCAAATGTACGTTAAAAATCATTGTGGAACGCTACCAAAGATCGTGTATGTAGAGAACCTTTGACGTAGAGAACCTTTGACGTTACCAGCTAAAACTCGTTCACAAGGTGGCCTGATAGAATAGATAGAATCTGCGGCAAAGAACAGAACCATGAGAGCACAGACGTCGGTAATGTATGGAATGAGTCAACATAGGTGTAGAGGGAGATGATAAAGAAAAGTCGACCACTGGACCACTGTGTTGAAGGGCGGCCAGGACAAGAACATTGTGTGAGTGGTCACAGATGAGAAGAGGGACACAACATATTAAAGGGACATAAAAAATATTATATCAATCCTGATTGAAATAATGTTATGGACTACATCCCTTTAACCTTTTCCTAATGGCACAAAAAGAAATTTCACTTCCTTACCACGCCTGTTGTGCAAGTTTTCAGAAACATCCTCACCTCCAGTGGCTGGGCCAGCAGGAATTCTGTTTCAAGAAAGAACAAAAATTGAAAAAAAGAAGGATGATTTAAAGGACACACACATCGCAGTCACAAGCCACGACTTTCCATTTACAAAGCTGCCAACTTTTCAAAACAAGAAACAGACTCTACCCACAAGGTGGGTCAAGATGGTGGGTACTGGCCAAGTAACCCCCCTCCAAACCTTCTACATACATTTTTATGTATTCAATAAATTCACACTCAACAGCTAGCTATGGTAACAGACACAACTACAATGACATTTTCACACACACACACACACACACACACACACACACACACACACACACACACACACACACACACACACACACACACACTCACTATGATTAAGTGCACACACACAAACACACACTAAACAAGAACAAGACTTTACTTTGGAATGTCCAACTCGGAAAAAGATGATGTTTTACGTAGAAAGCTTCTCTCCATAGCAACAGCCAGTTGCTCCACCGGTGTGAGGGACCAGTTTTGGTGCTCTTTCAAGCCACTTTCAGCACAGGTAAAAAGTACAGATGGAAACAGCTGGGGGACAGAGAATGCAATTTCCTCACATCAGAAATAATCAAAAGTAGGCCTATCCTCCTAATTTTATGAGTTTTATATATAGAGACATCCATCTGAAGTCAACTTTCTCAATGAGCCTTAAAAGGCATGACTCTATTTCAAATAGTATTTCCAGTATAGAATTGTGTGTTACACCAACTACATCAATCTATTATCACAGCAAAAACATGTAAATAAACAAACACCAACAATGCGGCAATGACAGGAAGACAGGTTTTCAAGGAGCCTAGTTCCCCCTGATAGATCACACCCATAACATCTTATACATAGATAGTTTAGAACGTCCCTCGCCATCAGCATAACAGCTCCTAAAATAGCTCTCTGTACTTTGTCATTCGTAGTGATGAGACTTCAGCCTGATATCTGGTTCAACTGAAGAAAAAAATCAGAGATATTATTTTATTAAGGTTTACCGCCATATGATTATCGGATGAACCGTGTTTGGTTTCAGCAGACTCCACTGTAGTTTGTCTTCTTTTCCCTTTATGTCTCGCTAAAGTCTGTCATTTCAGTAAAAATTCTGTTTCCCGGTTCCTCACCCTCCTCCAGTTTCTGGTTGACCTTTGCTCTCTCCTCGTGTCCAGGAGATAGACCAGGTCTCTGTCACTGAGGCACACACGTTTGTCTTGTGAGCAAATATCTCCCCACTGTAATGAAACAATAAAACCATGTCATAAAGATAAACATTAGGTAACCATCATCAGGTTTGTTTATTGTATAAATCTATCTCAGTATATTTAATACATTTTAATCTAATCATTATCATTTTTGCAACAGAGAGATAGTAACAGGTGTCTAAAAAAAGCGAGGGCCCATTTAAAGGGCTGTTTAACTCGGTCATCTTTTGACTGGTTTCAACAAAACTTTTAAAAAATAAATTCAACCATGGGTACGTTACGGGAGTCAATGTATGACAAACCATGATTTTCTTCCTGTATTATATTTACAGATTTGACGTCCCTACATTAAACATTTTCAGTTTGATAGGAATTATTAATTTTGAATTTTGCCCAGGTGGTGGCCGAAGCCTACTCTTATCGATATTGGACCATCAAGGGATCTTTAAAGTGAAAAACTTAAACATCATGGGATCTTTGAAATTTTTCTCCCTTATCCGAGTTGACCGTGTCTTTGATCTTTATACCTACCATAAGACATAAGATCGCAGGTATGGCTGAAAGACAGCAGTAGGAAGGAGCAAGAAGCAGTAGAAAGGTAACAAAAAGAGTGCAGGAGCCCAGAGGAGGGGGAATTAGGGGGGGGGGGCAAAAAGTGATGACGAAAACAGACGACAGAACATGGTTAGAGAGCAGGTTAAAGGAGGGGAAAGGAGAAGATTTTAGAAAAAACATTTTAAATTTCTGTCGCTGTCAGGTTTCGAATGTGGGACATATTGAATGAGAGGAGAACACCGTAACCTCTAGACCACGAGAGCATCAGAATTTTATTTGTTCGAAGTTTTATTGAAATTATAATGTCTAGAATCTAGAATCTAGATGACTGAGTTATTTTAATGGGGTCCTCTTTTTTTTAAAGACACCCTGTATTCAGAAAACTACATTTTCAGGGAGGAGTTCCGCGGAGGGCCGGCACTTACCATGACAAGGTCCACTGAGCAAACTATACAAGAGTTAGTGAGTTAGGGTTAGGGTAAGGGTTAGACCTAGGGTTAGGGTTACGGTTTGGGTCAGGGTAAGGGTTCATGTTAGGGTTTGGGTTAAGGTGTGCTGTTGGTCGGCCGGAGAGAGAGAGGGAGGGAGAGAGAGAGAGAATGTTTGGGTGTTGATTACAAAATTAGCAAACAAATAGATCTAGATTTATAGATCTAGATTCTAGATCTACGATGCCCTAGATCCTAGATCTAAGCCAAAGAACAGTCTGAAAAAAAACATGAAGGAGGTGACGAAAAAAGACATGCGATGTATGAAGCTTGTAAAACTGCCAAAACGTCTTTTACTATTTTACCCTGGTTACCAACATGGCTCCTAGATCTAGATCGGCACACACATGTGATCGGCACTCTAGATCTAGATCTAGATCTAGATCTAGATCTAGATTCTAGATCTAGATCTTCTAGATCTCGATCTATACAATTTGTAATTTCGTCTAGATGGTGAGGTTACGGGAAAATTCATAAGCTATAGCGCTTGGAGGTTGAAATAATTTTAATTACGAAAATATAAATTGAAAAGAAAAAAAGCGAATAATAAAACGTGAAAAGAAAAAAGCGAATATTAGACCGCCAAAAACAAGGGACATAACAATGAAATTAAGAAATGGCAGCCTGCTAGTTGTTCCCCTTTACGGGACCATCTACGTCATCGTTCTTTGTCTACGCACCTACGTCATCATCCGATGAGTACACCTATATCAACAACGTCAGCGTTCTTTGTGTAAATACTACGTCACCATTCAATGGGTACACATGTACGTCATCATTCAATGAGTACACACACACGTCATCGCTCTTTGTGTAAATACTACGTCATTGGCCATTGTGTACACATAAAATCTTACAAAAGCTTGATTTGTTTGTATCGTTTCGCTAAAAGCACGTGGGTTAGCAGAGCAGTAATTATCACGCCTAAAATATTATTTTAGAGAATGAAAGACTTGAAAACTTGTTTTGCATTGGAAATTACCTTCTTCTGTCTGTATAACGCAATATGTTTTTTTTTATAAAATTTTTTTTTTCGTGCGTATTTCCGGCACAAACAAAGATCTTACGCTAATTAGTACTTCATTTTGCGGAAGTGGTGTCACCCATGGAAACGGAAGTGATGCCACCCACTCTAAGACATAGACTTAAGGCGCGTGAAAAGCGCGGATCAACAGACGAATTAGTAGCCAACTTTTCGGGACAGAATGGTGGTTTTTAGAATGCTAGAGCTAGTGGGAAGCAGGATGGGGGTTCAGAGATTGTACATTTAAATGGGGACACGCCGGCCATGACAAAAACAAAATGCTCTACCTGCTCTGTCAAAACACTAGGCCTAGATCTAGATCTAAATCTAGATCTAGATCTTAGGCTATTCAAAAATCCTTGACATTTTGTGAAACTTGAAATTCTTCACGTCATATTTCTCAAAACTAGATGTAGATCCTAGGTCTAGGTACTGAGCAGATATAGACTATAGACTGTAATTTTCTAAGTTAGCGGTATATATATATATATATATATATATATATATATATATATATATATATATATATATATATATATATATATCTATAGATCTAGATCTAGTCTCTATGGCAACAACGTTGCCAAGGCCAAGACAAGGCATCTTAGTATCTATAGATCTAGATCTAGTCTCTATGGCAACAACGTTGCCAAGGCCAAGACAAGGCATCATGTTTTAATTTCCCTGTAGATCTCGATCTAGAGTAAAATTTGGGGGGCATTTCCAGCCCTAGATCTAATTATGTTCTTGTAGATCTCGATCTAGAGTAGCGCTTGGGGTGCAAAATAAATGTATGAGTCACTCAAATAATTAGATTGCAAATCCGCTTTGCGATTAGCGCTGGTGCAAAATAAATGTATGAGTCACTCAAATAATTAGATTGATGTGGGACATAATGTTGTTTGTTTTTTAATTGTTTTTTGAATTTTGAGATGATATGTTTGAGAAAGCTGTGCAGTTGGCGAACTTTTGGAACCGAAAACCCTCCACCCTTTCTGAATTTCGGTCAGAAACGTACAAATTAGCGTGCTCAAGAGCTCTGCTGATCCAGAACAAGATGTTTTGGAAGATCTGGATCTAGAGACACTCCTGTACGATTGCAGTCCCGTTTGTTTTCATGATGGCCATTGTGGGAGTGATTTAGACGATCTAGAATCTAAGTCTAGATCTAGATAGTCTATCCAGAATCTAGATCTAATGATCTTTAGATTCTAGATAGCCAACAAGGTAATAGCCCATAGAATCTATCTTTAGATATAAACTCTAGATCTAGATATCTATTATCTAGATTCTAGATCTAGAATCTAGATAGAGAATCTATAGAAGAATCTAGATTTAGATCTAGATCTAGCAATCAAGATATCGGAGCTTTTTCGGTAGGCCTAGTTCCGTCCCCGCAATTGAGAACTACCGAAAAAGCACCAAGTTATCTAGATACTAATACTAGATCTAGATCTAGATCTAGATTCTAGAACTTCTAAATTCACTCCCACAATGGCCATCATGAGTACTTTCTTACTCTTATTGGCATGGCCGGCGTGCCCCCATTTACATGTACAATCTTTGAACCCCCATCCTGCTTCCCACTAGCTCTGGCATTCTAAAAACCACCATTCTGTCTCGAAAAGTTGGTTACTAATTCGTCTGTTGATAGTCTATGTCTTAGAGTGGGTGGCATCACTTCCGTTTCCATGGGTGACACCACTTCCGCAAAATGAAGTACTAATTAGTGTAAGATCTTTGTTTGTGCCGGAAATACGCACGAAAAAAAAAATAATTTATTAAAAAAACATATTACGTTATACAGACAGAAGAAGGTAATTTCCAATGCAAAACAAGTTTTCAAGTCTTTCATTCTCTAAAATAATATTTTAGGCGTGATAATTACTGCTCTGCTAACCCACGTGCTTTTAGCGAAACGATACAAACAAATCAAGCTTTTGTAAGATTTTATGTGTACACAATGGCCAATGACGTAGTATTTACACAAAGAGCGATGACGTGTGTGTGTACTCATTGAATGATGACGTACATGTGTACCCATTGAATGGTGACGTAGTATTTACACAAAGAACGCTGACGTTGTTGATATAGGTGTACTCATCGGATGATGACGTAGGTGCGTAGACAAAGAACGATGACGTAGTTGGTCCCGTAAAGGGGAATAACTAGCAGGCTGCCATTTCTTAATTTCATTGTTATGTCCCTTGTTTTTGGCGGTCTAATATTCGCTTTTTTTCTTTTCAATTTTTTCATTGTTATGTCCCTTGTTTTCACGTTTTATTATTCGCTTTTTTTCTTTTCAATTTATATTTTCGTTATTAAAATTATTTCAACCTCCAAGCGCTATAGCTTCATGGATTTTCCCGGAACCTCACCATCTAGATCTAGACGAAATTACAAATTGTATAGATCGAGATCTAGAAGATCTAGATCTATATCAAGAGTAAGATCTTAAACTAATTCTTTGGTTTCGAAGTGACCAACCCATTTTCAAAGTTCGATGACGCGCTGCAATTTAAAATTCTTTGTTGACAGTTTGCTATCACTATATCAGCTGAGTCCACATTCTGGCTTTGGCTGTACTAAAGACTTTAGGGAAGAATCTGATCTGGAATATGCCAAATATCATTAGATCTAGATTCTAGATGTACACATCAAAGGAAGAAGCTTCGACGTTCGAAGCCGGGCAGGCCCTAACTGCTGACGGATCGGTGAAGTATTACTAGATCTAGATCTAGATCTAGAACTAGATATATTAGATCTAGAAATTAGACTTAGATTCTAGATCTAGATCTAGATCTAGATCTAGATCTAGATCTAGAATGTAGATCTACTATAGAAAATCTAGATATCTAGATCTAGATGATCTAGATCTAGGCAGGCCTAGATCTGTTAGTTAAGCCTCTAGATCTAAATCTAGATCTAGAGATCTAAACAACTGAAATGAAATATTGTTTACGCTATGGTCAGCACCGTTTTGTTTCGGTAGTCAATAGATTGATATCCGATGTCGTGCACTTGTGGTTTTGTTGATTTATTTATAGCATTGTGAAGCTGAATCTATTTTGCTATAATAAGGCCTACCTACACAATTAAGTTCTCATTTTCCACACTTTACATTTTGGGTCCTTTTGAGTTACTAAGACCATGACATGAAAAACCAAATGCTCTACCTGCTCTGTCAAAACACTAGGCCTAAATCTAGATTCTAGATCTAGGCTATTCGAAAATCCTTGACATTTTGTGAAACTTGAAATTCTTCACGTCATATTTCTCAAAACTAGATGTAGATTCTAGGTCTAGGTACTGAGCAGATATAGACTATAGACTGTAATTTTCTAAGTTAGCGGTATATATAGATCTATATGTAATTATGTTTTCTTTTAGATTTATCTTAGTATCTATAGATCTAGATCTAGATCTAGTCTCTATGGCAACAACGTTGCCAAGGCCAAGACAAGGCATCATGTTTTAATTTCCCAAACTTCTGCTTCGCTGAAGTCGTAGAATTCAAGTACTGTCAAGCCAGCCCTAGATCTAATTTTATGTTCTTGTAGGTCTAGAATCTAGATCTAGAGTAAAATTTGGGAGGCATTTTGATTTTTTTTTAAAGGAACTGCCTATTTGCAACGCCGCTTTGCGATTAGCGCTGGCGCTAAATAAATGTATCAGTCACTCCAATAATTTTAATTAGATTGATGTGGGACATAATGTTGTTTGTTTTTTAAATTGTTTTTTAAATTGTTTTTTGGATTTTGAGATATGTTTGAGAAAGCTGTGAAGTTGGCGAACTTTTGGAACAGAAAACCCTCCACCCGTTCTGAATTTCGGTCAGAAACGTACAAATTAGCGTGCTCAAGATCTCTTAGCCTTAGTTTCTCTATATGTGTAAAGATTTCAACAGTTTTGATATCATATCGCTCCCTAGATCTAGTAATAGTAGCGATAATGTCTGATGTGATCCGAGGATTGTTTGGTTGGTTGTTTTGCTGTTTGCGTTAACCACATTATGCTCAGTTTGAAAATTGTCATTTTTTTTCCTCATTCCAGCAATTGACAAGGTGTCCGATGGTAACTTAGAATAGGATCAGGTGATCGCAGGCCTATGGCTTGTGGCGGCTCGTATCACAGAACAGATGGCTAAACTGTAAAATGTACCTGCACTTGCTCCGAGCTGAGTTTCAAGTTGTTTAGGTGAGCATGCTTTGTTAATTGGTTTCAGAATTTCTCAAAGTAAGTTAACTTTTCTGAGGTTTAAGCTATTGTTGAAATTCAGAGAAGAAGTCGTTTGCTAGTATTGGGTCTACTTCTTTTTCTTGTCAAACTGTTGATTATATGACTATATATTGGTTATGTCCCCTGTAGCTAGCATTGGTACATGATGTATTTTTTCGTTAAATGCGTAGTGGAAGCATATATAGATTCTAGTAAAGTGTATGTAGAAATCTGTTTTTACAATAATGAAGTAACCTTTATGAGCCACATAGACAGACCCGTCCTGTACTCCTGCTAATGATAATGGAGAATCTCCAAAAATAACCAACGGATTTAGGCCCGATTAGAAAAACTTTTGTGAAGATAAAGCGACCTATACAGTAACCTGTAAAATTTCACATGTGTAGAAAGAAATGAAAATAAGTATTTTAAGATTCCTAAACTTCTAATGAAATGTATTTTGTATAAAGATACAGATTGCTCTTTCGGCTAGATCCAACCGGTCAATATCGAATTCTACATATCCGTTTCATTGTCTTCCTCAGAACCTGAAAATCAACTCAGACATCGGTCCACGATTGTCATTCAACTCAACTACGGGAACTTCTACTTCCCCTCCATCATCAGCCAGACGGTTAGATCTATCTCCATTGAAGTCTAAGAAGTAAGTTTATAGTGTTCACCATTGCACTACAAATGCTCTGCTGTCTCTCAGTACCTCATGATTTTTTTACATGACAAAAAAATAGCAGGAACATTTTTAGACAGTCATTTTCTTTCTTTTTAAATTGTGCTCATCAATGAAAATTGAATTGATAATAACTCTAAACAATTGTCGTGAATAGTAAAGAAGAATATATGAAAAGAATAAAAGAATCGGGTAGGCTATAATTTGTCCAAAAAACTACAAGTGCAACATAAAGATGTAAGATGATTTTGTTATTTCCTGATAATTTTTCAGAGGTTTATTAAATGTTCCAGTAGGCCTACTATGTTATATATGTCTCCGAAGAACATTTTTCTTGACTTTATAAGCTCTTTTATGTCCTTGAAATCATAAAATCCAGAGTTTCACACAAATGAATGTACAACATTTGAACAAGAAGGGTATAGGGAACTGACTATATAACCGCTTCCCTCCTCAAAACTTTCCACCCTTCAAAAGTTCCAAAGAAATATCAACAAAGTGGAAAAAAGACCATACAAAATCTGCTCACTGTTAGATTTTCATCAAACAAAGACAGAAACCAAAAATTTAATGAACCTCTTACTTGGATTCCGAAAATGTAAACCTAAAAAATCCTGTATAAAACTCTTGTGGGTATTTTATAAAATAATATACACCTATCTATTATCAACCCAATTTGTTTGCACAATTTAATTTGTTATGATTTATTCCTGTCATCCACATGAGTTACTTGTCCTATGATGTTCATATTGCCTCCACCTATTATAAACTCAAGTTATTTGCCAAAGTTTAACGATTGCCATCATTTCTATCGTCCTGAGCTTTTCGTCTAATAATGTTCTTATAGCCTCCACCCATTATAAACTCAAGTTATTTGCTAAAGTTTAATGATTGCCATCATTTCTATCGTCCTGGGCTCTTCGTCTAATAATGTTGTTTTAGCCTCCACCTATTTTTATAAAAACATCTTTTCCATCGTCCTCAGTTCCTCGTCCAATGATGATCCTGGCACTGGCCCATGCGTCTCTTCACCGGCCACCTTTCCAGTGGCTGCTACAGTTGGAGCCTCGCTGTCAGAAAATGGGAGGACCAGAGACAGTTTCCTGAGACTCTGTGCGGGTTGAGCACCACAGATGGATCATTTCTGCTTTTAAAATGTTACGTAGCTCGACGTACCAGGGAAAATCCTGAAAAACCAAGAACAGTTGAGATTTTGGGGGGGGGGGTTTGGTACATGTTTGTATTTGTCGCGTGTCTCTTTTTCGGGTACATGCCATATTACTGATCTTATTTGTGTCAGACAAAATTATTCACGAGAATGTGAGTAAGTAAGGGAACATTCTCTTGTAAGAAAAGTGTAAGAATCAGGGGGTGGTCTTGAACCAATGTAATAGTAATATTACACTTTTTTTCGATCCCGAGGTGTTAACTTTATCAAAATTCTACTGTAATTTGGGGGTGTTTTGACATTGACATGCATCTCAATTTTTTTTCTTATTAGTAAGAAAGAGTGTATGCAATATTTTGCTTGAATGATTTACTCTGTTATTTTTTAGTGAATGTAGAACTGCATATTTTATTTTATGTGCATGAATGTGTGTACGCATGTTTTTCATGAATATTATGTAAGACGCATAGATCAATGATTGTAACACGGATATGAATGTCATATTATTATTATTATAGGCGAACAGTGTAATATTACGGGGGGTGGGGTGGGGGTTAAGAGACAATGTAAGAAGGGGGAGGGGGGGCAAAAAGTCCCCAGAAAGGTGTAAGATTATATTTGAACAGCCCCTAAATACAATGAAAATATTTGAAAACCAAGAAGAGACAAAGAGGATGTCGGATCTTGTTGAGATGTAATGGAGGATATTTCACAATTCTTCTTTTAGATTTTGTCCCCCCGTTCTAGCTCCCCGAGGCTGTCCGGGGCGGTGAGAGACATACCCGTTTCCCACTATCCTCGCACAGGCTGGAGAGACCGGGTTTAGAAACCTTGGAGAGATAATGTGTACATTTTGTTAGCTCTAGACTCTAGCCGGTCTGACGAAAACATTTACTCAACATTTGCTGGCTCCAGAGGGGAAAAAGATACGAGGGGAAGATTGTTTTGTTTTGTCTACGGTTACGTAGTTTCTTTAGACCGTGTGTACAAGCATAGCAAGGCTGTCACAAATTTGTAAAAGTGCGAAACCCAAGCAACATGATTCCCATGTCTGTCTTTTCTCTTCTTTAAACTGCTAAAACTGCAAAAGGATGGCACTTGTACATTTTTACCCTTCCATAAAATTGTTTGATCGTTCTGAAACAGTGCAGTCTATCCCGCACTGTTCTCAGATAATGTATTCGAATTTTTGTGAAAGATTGTGTTAGATTTATTTGAATAAACTTCAAGACAGGACTTAACAAAAGCTGTGTGATGTGTTTGAAAAGTTTCTTTTTGTTTTTGAATTATTTAGAGCTGAGAGTCTTTAGTGTGTGTGTGTGTGTGTGTGTGTATGTGTCTGTCTCATTCTCTCACTCTTTTTCTCTGTCTATTTGTCTCTCTGTCTGTCTGTCTCTATATTGTAGGCTAATTGTAAGTGTTTAATGCTCCCACCGACACAATTAAGATTATTTAGGAGGTCGGCAACTTCAATCCTGCCTCTCAAGGTCAACCCCGGCTTAGCGGAATACAACATCTCAGCAGATAGACGGAGATACCCGCTGAAAGAATCTTGGGAATCGAACTGCCACTTTGTGCATGCAATGGCAAAGAAACTTACCACTACATCACAGACACCACTTCTCTCTCTCTCTCTCTCTCTCTCTCTCTCTCTCTCTCTCTCTCATACATCCCCATCTCTTACACTTAGAAGAAAACGGAGATAAGGTCTTTCAATATTGAGCAGTTATTTTCAAGTCCTGAACTTTCTGATGGGAATCGAACCAAGATCGTCTACAACAGAGTCCAGTGGGGTAGCAGCTATATAACGGTGCGCCCGAGAGAGAGAGCCCTTCAAGTCTGTTGTGATATACATAATATCTGCATATTATATATATATATATATTATTTATATAATCACCATCATGATAAGACCTGATAAAACTACAAACTTTTTATTTTGCTTTTTTTTGCGACAGATTCTACAGGGCATGTTTCATATGATGGCTAAAATGTATAAAAGTAGGAGGGTTACGGTCATGTGCCAGGAAAGCAAAGAAGAAGAAAAAAATCAACAACAAGGAAAACACGTGGGTGCTGTTTGTTTTGGGTTTTGTTTTGGGTTCTGTTACTGGGTAGAGAAGACAAAAGAGTAAGTGAGAGAGAGAGAGAGAGAGAGAAAAAGAGAGAGAGAGAGAGAGAGAGAGAGAGAAAGAGATAGAGAGAGCAAGACAAACAGACAGACAGACAAACAGACCAAGAGAGACATAGAGAGAAGTAGAGAATGTCATGTACTGATATGTCTTTGTCGTCTACATAATTAGTAAAGATGTCAGTGCATAATGTAAGTGATCTTCAAGTCACAAGAGAACTCAAGGTTTTTTTTGTTTTAAGAGATGTAAACCTTTGCATGCTTCACCAGTCACTGTCACCACAGACATACATTTGATGGGCTGGAAGAAAAAAAATCAGATATGTCAGATATTTTAAAAGTTTTTGAGAATTGTAACTGAGATTTTTGAGACTCATACTCGTAGAAAACACATATATATCGTTAGAGCTCTGTTGAACATCATAGTTTGTACTTTTACCCTGATACATCCAACCGCTTTAAATTCATTTCATTTATGCACTTTGAAAAGTCGGTACACAACCCCTAGTTTGACAAAAGTGTGACCTTCTGTTCTTTCATCGAGACCATCTGTAACTTGGTAAATGCATCTAGACGTGCTAGAAAAAATATTTTTTACAAAAAGAAGACAAAGTCAACTCATAAAAATTATTGTAAATTTCAAACATATTTATTAAAATGGATAGTAATATAAAGCATACCAATACTATAGAAAAATAACAATAACAACATTTATAGTGCAGCATTCACTTGTTCAGGCCGTCATTCAAATATTTCAAATCTATAAAGTTATTGTAAGTGGCACAAGTCATTGTACATGATTTGAACCAGTGATATAAAGCAAACAGAATCATTTTCAACAAGTCTACCACACCTGCAAACTCAACAAACAGAATTTCAATGTCTCAAGTCAAGAGACGATGAACATCCTACTATACAGCAGCTCTGACCTGTTTCAGGTTGTTTTCAGTAGGTGTCTTTTACACCCCCATCAACACAATTTAGATTATCTAGGAGGCAGGTTTTGACCCTGACTGTCAGGACCAACCCGGATTGAGGATACAAAATCCCAGCAGAAAGATCCAGATAATCGATGGAATCTTCTCACCACTTGGGGAGAAAGCCGAACATGGGTCCGATAACAATTTCGTTTAATACAATACACTGGGAATAAGCTAGAAAATATTAGGGATGAGATAGAAAATAATAGGGATCATCTAGAAAATACTAAGGGTGAGCTATAAAATAGTGGGGGATATTCGGAATGAGCTAGAAATAATATTATGGATAATCTAGAAAATACTGGGAATGAGCTAGAAAATAATAAGAATAATCTAGAAACTACTGGGGATGAGCTAAAAAATAATGGGGAACATTCTGGATGAGCTATACAAAAATATTAGGGATGACCTAGAAATTACTAGGGATAAATATTAGGGACAATCTAGAAAAATACTGGGGATAAGCTAAAAATTATTAGGGACGAGCAAGAAAATAATAAGGATAATCTAGAAAATACTGGCGATGAGCTAAAAAATAGTGGCAAATATTCGGAATGGGCTGGAAAATATTAGGGACAAGCTTGAAAATACTGGGGATGAATTGGAAAATATTAGGGATGAGCTAAACAATACTGGGAGTGAGCTAGAAAACACTGGGGATGAGCTAGAAAAAAATAAGAATAATCTAGGAAATACGTTGAGGATAAGCAAAAAAATATTACGAATGAGCGAGAAATTACTGGGGATGAGCTAGAAAATCTTAGGGACAATCTAGAAAATACTGGGGACGATATGAAAAATTGTGGGAAATATTCGGAATGGGCTAGAAAATATTAGGGAGGAGCTAGAAAATACTGGGGACGAGCAGGAAAATATTAGGATTGAGCTAGCAATCATATGGAAAATCTAGAAAATACTGGGGATGAGCTAAAAAATATTATGGATGAGCTAGAAATAATATGGATAATCTAGAAAATACTGAGAATGTGCTAAAAAATAAAGGGGAATATTCTGGATGAGCTATAAAAATATTAGGGATAACCTAGAAAATACTGGGGACGGGCTCGAAAATATTATGAATGAGCTAGAAAATAATAGGGATAATCTAGAAAATACTGGGGAGGAGCTTAAAAAGTGGGGAATATTTGGAATGGGCTAGAAAATATTAAAAACTAATAGGGATAATCTAAAAAATACTGGGAATGAGCTAAAAAAGTGGGGAATATTTGGAATGGGCTAGAAAATATTATGGATGACCTAGTAAATACTGAAAAATAATCTTTAAAAATTCTGGGGATGAGCTAGAAAATAATAAAAATAATCTTTAAAAATTCTGGGGATGAGCTAGAAATTACTGGGGATGAGCTAGAAAGTATTAGGGACAATCTTGAAAATACCGGGGACAGATGAAAAATAGTGGGAAATATTCGGAATGTCCTAGAAAATATTATGGAGCAGCTAGAAAAAACTGGGGACGAGCTGGAAAATATTAGGGATGAGCTAACAATAATATGGAAAATCTAGAAAATACTGGGGATGAGCTCAAAAAGGGGGGGGGAATATTCTGGAAGATCTAGAAAATATAAGGGATGACCTAGAAACTACTGGGGATAAGCTAAAAATTATTAGAGATGAGCTAAAAATTATTAAGGATGAGCTAGTAAATAATAGGAATAATCTAGAAACTACTGGGGACGAGCAAGAAAATATTACAAATGAGCTAAAAACTACTGGGGATGAGCTAAAAAAAATTATAGGGAATATTCGAAATGAGCAGGAAGAGCAGGAAAATATTAGGGAAGAACTAGAAAATACTGGGGATGAGCAAGAAAATATTATTGATGAGCTGAAAAATAATAGGGATCATCTAGAAAATACTGGGGACGAGCTAAAAAAAAAGGTAGGGAGTATTCGGAATGAGCTGGAATATATTAGAGAAGAGCTCGAAAATAATAGGGATCATATAAAAAAATACTGGGGATGAGCTAAAAATAGTGGGGAATATTCGGGATGAGCTAGACATGAGGGTTTTTTCCGATCCACACAGATCCACTCAGTTGTCCACATGATCTCTTTGTCTGCTTCATCTTTCGTCCAGTCAAATCTACCGACAGATCCTGTTGATGACCATCTCTGAGTAAGCAGCGCTGATGTCCCCTTCAACATGGTAGCGTCGTGAATGTTCTCCGGACAGATAGCTGAACATTTCTGTCAGGTTCTGACGTTCTGAAGACATCTGTGAGTGGAAAGAAAGAAAAGGAGAAAATGTTTTTGTATGGATTGCAACAACCGGTCATCACGTCGTACATAAAATAACACGTGTAAAATAAAAACTTTGGATTCATTATGAAGTGATGCAGGACTTACAGGCTTCAGATTTCCAAGAACTACAACATTTATAGATCCATGTGACAAGGGCTATAACTCAAGGACAGTACAACTAAAACTGAAAGCCTGACTGGCACAACATAAAATATTTGTTACCAGATAGTTAAAACTAGAAGTATCTCATTGCTCTGTGGATTAAAAATGGGACAAGAATTTATTCCAAATTTTTCAACAGCTCCCAGATACCATAAGATCTTACTGATGTCATATACAAATGGCAACATTATCTTCCAAAATTGTTCCTTGTTGAATAAAATTTTTTTAAACATTTAAAGTTCAAGAACAAATTGTAATCTCTACCAATGAATAAAGTGCTGAATCTACAAGAGCCTGGGGTGTCCGAGAAATCACAAAGCACAGCGGAAATTGTCCAAGACAGCCACCCATTATTGAGGAGAAAAGTGACTGTTTTAGACAGGTGGTTGTCTTGGACAGGTGTTATTATAATTCAGAAAAACACAAAGGGGAAGTGGGAAGTGGCCGTTTGTACAGGTGATTGTCTTAGACAGGTGGCCATTAAGGCAGGTTCAACTATAGTTGTAATTTGAAACCTGAAAATTCAAACAAGAAATGTACACCGATGATATTTACCAATTATATTTTTTTGACATTCTCCCCTACCACCGTTTTCTTCCCACACACAGGTAGAGAGGAGCGGTCAGAGAGATACTGACTCCATATTGGCACTGGCTTGACCGGCCTCAGACCACAGGGATGGTCTCTCACATACGGCAGGGAACACTGCTGGGGATGACAAATGACAATCCTCTTCTTTTCTTTCTTTCTCTCAACAAATTCACATCTGGGTAATCTTTTATTTAGCCTATGATATAGATAAATATGGCAATGATAATAATGCAAATAATAACAATGATAATAATAAAGATAATAATGATAACTTAAAAAAAAAAATAATAACAATAATAATAGAATCTAGTGATAATAATGATTCTGATTATGACAATCATAAAAATAATAATTATAACACTAATAATAATACTAATAATAAAATTAATAATGCTAATACAAATTATAATACTAATAAAAATAACACTCTAAAACAGATAGGTGCTACACAGTAGACTAGAAATCACGTTTTTTTCCTTCTTTCTTTGTAAGATATCCCTGGAACTACAAATCCCTCATACCTCCGAAGTCGGTCCTTACGAATTCGAGATATCCGTGTTATACTGTAATAGTAATAATAATAATGATGGTAACAATTTTAACGATTATAACAATAATAATGATGATAACAATAACAATAATAATAAAAAACCGTCCATGTTTGACGATGATCAGAGCATCTGCAGAAGGAATGTCCTTCATGTAATAACGACACTGTTACAATCTTACAATCTTTTCTTCCGCGACTGGATAGCTAAAGATTTACATTTCTACTGTTAGAAGTTGTTGGGAAGAAGTAAAAAACATTTTTAAAAAAAATCTTGACCCTTTAATTTAAAAAAATATATCCCTTTGGGCCCTATATTTAAAACAGCTCTTTGGATGCATACACAGGATCCATAAAATAAATGACTTACAGTAACCTTGATTACAAATTGCTCATTTTGTGACCGCGACACCACCCTGCCCTATATTTCAGTGAAAATTTGTCGATTACATCTCCCAGCTGTCTAGACGTCTCCACGCGAGTCTCGAAAATTACTCACCCCGTCTGTAGAATCGCGTTTCTTAGGTGAATGGTTGAGTGTAGTGTTGAGAACTATGGCTGTATCTCAAGGAAGGGCGAGATTTCTTTGGCACTCAGGTACAGACGACTGTTGGGATCTGAAACAAAATAAAAATGAAACAAATACGTAGAAACATAATTCTAAATAATGCAACCGGAGGATCTTGAAAAAGCTCCAGTTAAAGAACTGTTTATTTATAGATTTCATTTGAACACAAAGCTCACTTATTTTGGCTCACAAAAACACAGAAGCTCTGTGTAAAAGAATTATCCGAAGAAAGGTATCAGAAAACAGAGGAAGGGGAAGACCAAGAAAAAGACGGGAACAGCTAGAGCATCAATGACTTGATTGGAGCAAATATCAGCCCAGCAGAAAGAGAAACAAATAGTGGTGGCAAAGGGAAACCAAGAGGGAAATGGGAAAATCACTTTCTGAAGCAAGGAAAAGACGGGAACAGCTAGAGCATCAATGACTTGATTGGAGCAAATATCAGCCCAGCAGAAAGAGAAACAAATAGTGGTGGCAAAGGGAAACCAAGAGGGAAATGGGAAAATCACTTTCTGAAGCAAGGAGCATTTTCTGATCTGTAGCTTTCCACTCTGTCCAATTTTCACTAAATTAACATTTCAAAACATTATTTTGATAAAGTCTTGTAGATTTTGAAAGAATGATAATGAATACTGCTTGGCATTGTTTTTATAATTTTTTTTTGCATTGGTTGGAAATTTATTATTTTCCGCCTGGTGCTCGATATTGAACAAGGTGACATATCAGAGGTTTTCTAAGGCCACCAAATGTACGTTAAAAATCATTGTGGAACGCTACCAAAGATCGTGTATGTAGAGAACCTTTGACGTTACCAGCTAAAACTCGTTCACAAGGTGGCCTGATAGAATAGATAGAATCTGCGGCAAAGAACAGAACCATGAGAGCACAGACGTCGGTAATGTATGGAATGAGTCAACATAGGTGTAGAGGGAGATGATAAAGAAAAGTCGACCACTGGACCACTGTGTTGAAGGGCGGCCAGGGCGGCCAGGACAAGAACATTGTGTGAGTGGTCACAGATGAGAAGAGGGACACAACATAAAAAATGATTGAAATAATGTTATGGACTACATCCCTTTAACCTTTTCCTAATGGCACAAAAAGAAATTTCACTTCCTTACCACGCCTGTTGTGCAAGTTTTCAGAAACATCCTCACCTCCAGTGGCTGGGCCAGCAGGAATTCTGTTTCAAGAAAGAACAAAAATTGAAAAAAAGAAGGATGATTTAAAGGACACACACATCGCACACACATCGCAGTCACAAGCCACGACTTTCCATTTACAAAGCTGCCAACTTTTCAAAACAAGAAACAGACTCTACCCACAAGGTGGGTCAAGATGGTGGGTACTGGCCAAGTAACCCCCCTCCAAACCTTCTAAATACATTTTTATGTATTCAATAAGTTCACACTCAACAGCTAGCTATGGTAACAGACACAACTACAATGACATATACACACACACACACACACACACTCACTATGATTAAGTGCACACACACAAACACACACTAAACAAGAACAAGACTATGTTTTACTTTGGAATGTCCAACTCGGAAAAAGATGATGTTTTACGTAGAAAGCTTCTCTCCATAGCAACAGCCAGTTGCTCCACCGGTGTGAGGGACCAGTTTTGGTGCTCTTTCAAGCCACTTTCAGCACAGGTAAAAAGTACAGATGGAAACAGCTGGGGGACAGAGAATGCAATTTCCTCACATCAGAAATAATCAAAAGTAGGCCTATCCTCCTAATTTTATGAGTTTTATATATAGAGACATCCATCTGAAGTCAACTTTCTCAATGAGCCTTAAAAGGCATGACTCTATTTCAAATAGTATTTCCGGTGTAGAATTGTGTGTTACACCAACTATA